TGAATAATAATAAAACGTTTCATTTTTACCGTCGCATTAGCAAAAAAGAAATTGAGGAGACTTTAAAGAAAACTGAGGGTGGAAAGCCTGTAGGACCTGATGATATCCCAATTGAAGTGTGGAAATATTTGGAAGATTTAGGAGTTTCTTGGCTTACTAAACTCTTTAATATTATTTTAAAAACTAAAAAGATGTCTGAGGAGTGGAGAAAGAGTATTTTGGTCCCCATTTTTAAGAATAAAGGGGATGCACAAGAGTGTGCAAATTATAGAGGAATTAAGTTGATGTGTCATACTTTAAAATTATGGGAGAGGGTAATTTAACATAGGTTAAGACACATCACAAAAAATTTCTCATAATCAATTTAGATTTATGCCGGGCAAGTTTACTATGGAAGCTATATATTTATTGAGAGGTTTGATGTAGAAGTTCAGAGATAATAAGGAGAATCTACACTTGATTTTTATTGATTAAAAAAAAGCTTACGATAAGTTTCCAAGAGATATCCTTTGGAGAGTCCTCGAGAAGAAAGGTGTTGATATGACTTATAATCAAGTCAATAAAGATATGTATACTAGAGTTATTACTTGTGTCTGAACTGAACAGAAGTTGCCCGCTCGCCACACACACACACACACACACACACACACACATATATATATATATCTAATACTATGGACGGTGGATTTTGACCATCGTACTGAACACACACACACACACACACAATGGACGGTGGATTTTGACCATCGCACTGAACACACACACACACACACACAATGGACGGTGGATTTTGACCATCGCACTGAACACACACACACACACACACACACACACACATATATATATATATCTAATACTATGGACGGTGGATTTTGACCATCGTACTGAACCTCTTACCATTCATGTTTGGCTGCGCTTCCTAGGTTTGAAGATCCACCTTTTTGATCAAGAGCTTCTCTTCACTTTAGCGATGGTATACGGTAAACCCCTCAAAACTGACACGTCTACAGTGAATCTAACTCGGTCTTCAGAAGTCAAAATTTTGATAGAAAGAGATATTACTTTACCTTTTCAGGGAGAAATATGGATTGACACACAACATTAGAGATTTTGGCAGCAAGCAGAACTTGAATAGATACCACTTTATTATACCCACTGCCGTATGTTTGGACATTCTCTTTCTCAATGTTATCAGTTGCATCTGAATTTAAAACCTTCATGTAAAAACACTTTTGGATCTGCCCCACCTCATACCTGTCTCTCCTCCGCTCCCGAGTGCATTCCACAGACTATTGAAACACCGGTTGACACGATGCCACCTTCCCCTCCCACTACCGAAGACAATAATATCTCTGTTCTTTCGACTGATATATTGGTAGATGGTTTACTTGGGTCCGATAATCAGGATAGTATTGAAGCTCCACATCCCCAGGATGCTTCAGGTGTTGAAGAGACATGCTTACCATCTCTTCAGAATCAGAATGTTGTTACTGCTAATCAGGAGCTGGGGGCTCATTCTCTCCTACATGCCCAAAAATCTGTTGACCACACCGATCAGATGAACCAGTCCTCGGATGAGGAATGGCAGGTTTACACATCTAGAAAAAAAAAGAAGAATGGAGGCACACCCCAGCTTGAGAACTTAATGGATGATACTCTTGTAACTTCGGGTAATGGAACGACACTCAGCAATTTGTTAGTTGTCTCCGGTCCTTAAATCAGAGGCAGAGGCAAGACCAAATTGGCTCGTGCCTAGCAGCCTATTCCCTGCAAGCTTTGTTTTTTTGTGTTTTATCATAGTTTCATCCTTTTAGGATGTTGGTGTCTGATGTATCGTATGGGTAGGGCACCTTTTTTTGGGCCCTCTCATACAATCTCTATGTATCTTTTCAATTTCAATAAAATTAGCCCTTACGCGTTTATTATTATTATTATTATTATTATTATTATTTAAAAGAATGGTCGGAGGCTATTTTACGAGCCCCCGACCACCCTCATGTGCCTAACTATTCAAGGAACTCCCTCACTACTAGCAAACTGGCCAGAGGGGGATTCGAACCCTTGACCTGAAGAAACTTACGACCTTCAAAGTGGTTACTCTACCAACAGGTCACGACTAGCGGCGCATATATGAATATATATGTAACCTTGCAGTTGAAGAGTTTGAATAAGAATTAAAAGAGAATTCTCTTCCACGTTTTTCTTCGTTAATGCTACCTATATTTTTCCCAATAATGTTTATGCAATAAAATCTAGTGGTTTTGGGTATAGCGATATTTTGAAGGTATTTAGCAAATCTAAATCACGTTCTTAGAGCAAGCATGGGTTCCTTAGTTTTGAAATATTTGACCAGTAAAGGAAGGGACCTGATACCAGATACTACAATAGAGCTCATGTTTCTAAATCTGCTACCACAGAGAGTATGACATTTTTATTATTTTGACCTTAGCCAATGGGAAAGATATGTAATCGACTTTTATGATACATGGAAGAAAAATGTATATCATAATTTGAACAGTTTTAAAACTAGTGACACTTATTTGTAACCCCCATTTAGCTGTAACGTATAATCTTTTCCTAATGCACTTTAAACCTTTAGGTAAAACCTTCCCCACAAACTATAACATTTTAATCAGAACAATTTACGTGTGCTTCTACCTTATTGGGCCTTAAAAGTCTTGGAGTTCTACTACGAATGCAGCTAGTAAATTTTCTTCGTAAAAATTGATTTCAAAAAATTCCTCGGTCTTGTCATCAATCTTCTTCTCTGTACTACACCAAGTAAACTATTTTATTAGACTATAGCAAGTACTTTGCCCTTCGTCAATTTCCAGCTCATTCTTTTTTTTCAACCAGTAATAACATTATGTCCTTGGGGAATTTTTCGCAGATATTGTTTGGTTGTAAAAGGTCTATTGCTGGCAACTGCTGTAGAACACATCCCTTTATAACCATCTTACCAGATAGTGAATTTTGAAGGAAAATTTTTCTTTATGTAGGGAGCAAATAATCTGATGCTAATTTAATGATTATTTTAATGGTATGGCCTTGTAGATGATCTATTTCTTGATCTTCCTTTAATTTGACTTTTGTTATTGCTTGATATCTTGATTTTTTCTTGAATTTAATCTTCAATTGAAAAAGTTTTTGAAATCTTTGCCATCTTCCATGAAGAGGAAGAGATATATGTTGATTCCCTTAAAAAACATGATATCGACCTTTATGTGGTATGAAAGAAAACATTTAATCCATTTTAAACGTTGGCAAAGCTACTGAATCCAGGTATTAGTCTTCTAAAGCCCCATGACTTGGTTGCAATGCATCACTATTCCCTAATTAAACTTTTTATTATTTATCAATCTCTCCCTGCTACAAACTACATTTGTTTACGTAAACAACTTATTCATGCTTTTTTCATTATTGGATCTCTCAGATCCTAGATCCAATACTACCAGGACAAGAGCTCCCTTTGCCATTGCACTTGGCTGAGGCTGGACGAACACGATGGCATCCTTTTGGCACAAATTATTTGTGGAGCGAACCACAATCGCTGCTGAATATCCTCTCACAAGAAAATAGGCCTGGGTTCTTCAGATCATTTGTGTGCTATCCTGCATATCCAACTAGTGATCCTTTCCGCTGTTGCATATCGGTCCATGATTTTTGCTTGCCTTCAACCCGGGTTGCAAGCCCATCACCAGTTGAGAATGCTGCTTTGAAATCAAATTTCAGAAGTGGTAATAGAATGCATGAAGCTGCTCCGCCTAGGAAACATATTTTACACCGCCTGAGACTTGTACCGCCTTTGTTACTGAAAAATTATCTTCCAGTAAGCTTATCATTAATGTTAGAATCTGGTGGGGTTACACATTCTCTTACAATTTCCAAGGTTTGTTACAACTTTGTTTGGATTGTTATGGACTTGCAAGGTGTTATGATTAAATTATTATTTTTTAAAACACTGACATTCTCAGGGAAATTATACTTCCTTTTTTGCGGTTGATTATATGCATGATCTTGAGGTCACTTACCAAATGGAAGGTTACAAGCCTGTTATTTCCAAATTCCCTCGAGCAGAATTTTTCTCTGATATTGCCAAGTCATCTGGATCCAAGTACTTTTTATTTGAAAGACTATCCTTTTACCCGTACACCTGTGCTGGTAAACCATTTTTATTGCCGTTAATGATTTAATTTCCTCAAATTTACACGTTATGCTAATGCAGCTCGTCATTCTAGGTCCTTTATCTGTAACCCTTGAGAAGACACTTGATGCATCTTGTGGTGCAAGAGAAATCTGCCTTTCTGTTTCATATTTTTTGTATAATTGCACTGGTCTACAGCTTGCTATTGTAGATGGCAACCAAGGCCATAAAGGAGTTACCCATGTGATTCCCTCTAGTTATCAGTTAATGGATCAAGCGCAGCCTGAGGATGAAAAAGAAGGCCTTGCATTTTTATCTTCTATGTCAAACTCTTTTCAGAGTTCTTTAAATAGCTGCTCGTCATCAACAGGAGATGAAGCAATGCTACATTCACAAGCTTTTTCAAGCAGGTAGTTCTGTTTTCCATTTTATTATAGTTATAGATTCTTAAGAAGAATAACTAAGTTCACGGCTTACGTTTTTGCAGTTTATTGGTTGGGCTTAATGACACCAATCACATTTACTCGTCAAAGAATGTTGGAGATGCTGCCAAGAGTACTGTGTATGGTTTCTCTAAAAGGGCTAAGCCATATATGTATGCTCCCCAAGATCATATTCTTGCTTCGGACCTTTTGGTTAGATTGGCTGTATCTTCCACTCAAATCAGAGCTGAAAATATGCATATCCTAGCTTGGTCAAGTCCGTTTTCTCTTCTCCCAGCGGGTGGTTCTATTAATGTCACTATTCCCAAGCCAAATGCATCTAGTGCTTTCTTAGTATCTGTAACATCGATAACTGTTTCTGAAGAATTATCTGAAAGGACGCGTGCTATTACATTTCAACCAAGGTGATCAATTTTGTGAAAACATATAAGATGTCGATATAACATACTTTTTTATTTTTATTGATTTAAATTTTCAAAAGTTTTTGTATAGGTTATGTGCAAGTTATTGGAAACTAGTTTCTTGAAGATATTCTAACTATTAAGATGAGGGCTGATTATGTGAGGGGTTTAGTGGTATCTGTTTTGGAAAAACTGGTTGATAAAGTATTCTCTAAGGTGTGGTGCTGCGTAAATTTTTTCCAAATCTTTTTCATTGGGATCCCATAGGATCAAATTTGTTGGTCTTCTTCATTTAAACTGAGTTTATTTATGCCAACACTTGATGTGAATTTGACTAAAGTTTAAGATTAATCGATCAGTTAATCCAATTATAAAATGTTCCTCGAGGAACCCTTAGAGTTTGTAACAAGCTGATACATTGATAGCGATCACATCCTTATAGTTTAAATACTTCATATTGCTAAGTGAACTTTTAGGCACGGTATATTAGAAACTATTGTTTTGGAAAGCATTCTGACACTGTTCTAGGTTCCCTTATAGGTACAAAAGGATCGGGATATGTATTGGGTATGGTTCAGGATGAAAGGAATAGTGTGGCAATGAGCGAGAAAGCAAAATAGATAGCAGCTGCTGTCTCGTGTACAGGACAGCAGGGAATCTGCATCCGGCTTAAGAATCGGAGAAGTACAAATGTCGAAATGATCCACACCACCCAAAAGAGAAAAGGATACAACACTGAAGGAAGAGAGAGACACAAAAAGCAGGTCTCTATTAACAAAATAATATGCTAAAAGTCTCCAAAATCAGTCCACAACTAAATGTTCATAATTTAGCTACCAAAGAAACCTTAATCCTAATTAAAACAAGTAAATTGAAGCCTTAAAGGCCCGGCCAAGAAAATAGGATTAGGAAAAAAAAAAACTTGAATTGAACTGATCCGGGTCCTCTTGAATAGTTTCAGGACAGACATTTTGGGTTCGCTCCTATTGGAGCAATATATATTGTGTCCTTGTCATTCTCCTGAGGTGAGAGAGGCTTCACCTTTATCATCTAAAGCACTTGAATCCTCACAGTACTATGGCAAATTAGCAATTTTGAATGTAGCAGAATTATTGTAATATCCCGTGACTAGTCAGTTCAATCTTATATGTATTGTCATTAATTCTCTAGACAATCTTGAATGGACCATCTGTTCTAGGCTTGAGCTGTCCAAATGAAACTAAAGGGCGATTGTTCACGGTGTCAGAAATTAACACTTCTTTAGATGACCATATAACTCCTCTATTCAAAATTCTCCATCATAACTGTTGTGAATGCTGCTTGTACAACAGAGTATCATTAAAGTGCATAACCATGTATTTTCTGATAAAGGTTCACAAAAACCTCGTTCATCAACCTTATAAAAGTGTTTGTTGCATTGGACAAGCCAAAATGATATCGGAAAGCAACTATTATTACTCAAAAAGCAAATAGGGTATAAAGTAGAAGACACTTGGACTTGGGAAATAACAAAGATACAACACGACTCAATAGGACTTTTGTCGAGGGAGGTGGTGTTGCGGTATGCGGTAGAAAAGCTCTCATGGAAGCGAGGGAATGGTGTGAAGGCAGCAAGGGATGGTTGTGGTTGGGTATCAGATGGCAAAACGGTGATTGGTCGTAGCGTATGGTGAGGTGAGTATAACAGAGAAGTGGTGGTAGGGCGTTCGAAAGGTCGGGTAAGCTCATGACAGCGAGTAAAGGAGTTGTAGGGCCATGAATGACAGTGTTGTCGAACAACTGGACAACAATATGACAACAAGGGAAGGGGTTGCGAGGTGTGTCAGCAATGTTGGATGGCGGGTAGAATTGCAAAAGGAGTGGCGGGCAGCAACAACATGGGTGGAGGTCTGGGACAGCAAAAGCAGCAAACCAGGTGGCTGGGATAGTGAAGTGCAGTGAAGGGGAAGGACGGTGGATTGCAGGACAACAAGGGTGGGGGGTTGTCCCGGGACTGCAATAGCGAGAGAGATGGTTGGAAAGGTAGCAAAAGAATTGGGTATGGATAAATATTTCGGCGGGATCGAGCTACAACCGAAGCATCACTCAAACTCTTGGATACGACAATCACCTCAGACGAGTTACAATCGAAATACTTTTTTGTTTTCAGATACAGTCCTAGAATGGAAACACCAGTTGTCGATGGTTGTCCTAAACAGAAACACATGTCAAAAACTGATTTTGAAACCCTAATACAACACATATATAGGAACGGACTAAAAATGAATGTAAGATAATAGGAAAGAAGGCTTAAAAAAGGATAACGGGATTGTTTCAACAGCCCGTCTCCCTTCTCTTGCAATTTTGAATCTTGCAGTGTTGTAGCAGTTGTAGTACTTTGAGTACATTGTGCGTGAAAGCCCCACATCAATCTCTTGTGGTTGGGGATGCTTCGACCTCTTTCATCGAAGCTTCTATCTGTACATTAAAAGTTGTGGAGCTATTGTAATCTCCCAGAGTTGAGGGGTATTTGACTGCAGTCAGAGAAGCACCTAGATTCCATTGGCGACTATATTATTCCCTGAAGCACCTGAGGAATTTTCTTTTACTTACGAGCAAACATCCATAGTAGTCCAACCATCTGGGAGTACCCTACTGAGCTGAGCTGGGATTTTATGCCAAGTGTGTTCTGTTGAATTCTCCACAAGCAACCCAAGGTTGGTTCAATCCGATCTGAGGTGAGGATAATATGAATCTCCCTGAATGGTGGTGGTCAGGGAGGTAAGCTAGCGAACATGATGTCCTAAAATTCTCTCTATATCGGTTGTCATTTGTTTGTCATCGGCTTCTCTCTTGTGGCCCTCTATCATCGCTAGGATTGTTCCTCTCGAATGCTTCTCTGCTAGCAAGTGCACTTGTTTCAAACTCCGCAGAAGGTAGGACTATGTGTTTGTCATCTTTGGTGAAGGATTAGGTGTTTCTGAATCCTTCATGTGAGTCATACGATCACACTGCTTCGGTCTCGCCAATAAAAGATGATAGGCATCCTTGGGCACTACATCGCACCAAACCTGATCTTGCAACTATCTTGCAACTATCTTGCAGCTAGGTGTCAATCGAAAACTCTATGAGAAACCTTCTATCAATACTGACCCAGTTCTCCTTCAGCCATGTCAAGGAATACGGCTGGAGATGTCTATGAGTCATGATGCTCGACTTGCCCACTATTGATGTTGATGTCACATTCTTGTTGTCAACTTCATTGGTAATGATACTACATGCCTTGCCCTTCACAGAAGCTGTTGTTTCTCCCTCTCTGCCCAGTCTATAGGACACGTCAAACCACGAGCATTTCACTCTCAATTGGTGGAAGATTGTACTCATTACCCTACTCTTCAGCTGTCTTTTCATCACTAACTTCTTCCACCTCCCTTTACTCGAAGAAAGTCGCACCTTGGCTAGTCGGACAACTGGAAGCGATGGGTCTAAAACCATGCCATTTAAGGAACTTTCAGATGGGATTGAAGGGAATGTGATACTCTTCTTAGGCTTCTTTTCGCTCGAAGTTGCCTTGTCCTGCTCCTGATTAGTCCGTCCCACTCTATAAGGCTTGCTACTTCTGAGATCTCCAACTATGGGTTGTTGTATTACTGACAGTTTTTGTATGCTTTGCTTTTATGTTCTCTCCTCCTTCAGTGCTAACATTTGTACGTCCCTCAGTGTTCAATAGGGTTGTAGCTGGGCTACATTATTGATGGCGGGTTTGAGGCTATCCATATACTTGGTTATGGTGTGCTTCTCTTGCTCCTTCAACTCACACTTCGATTTAACCTGCATAAGTTATGTTGTGTGCTCCTCCATTGATAGCTTCTTCTGTCGCAGGTAGTGGGACTTTAAGAAAATATCCAGGCGGTAATGCGGCAGTAGGTACTGTCGTTGCATCTCCCATTTTATCATCTCCCAAGAAGTGGTTATGTCCCATCCTTTTTCTCTCCCTTTTCAAGTTTTCGCACAATAAAAAAGCATTATTCTTCAGCTTGATGGTAGAGATTTTTACTCTTCTGTCATCGGGCACCTCCTTATATACAAAGATCTGTGCAACTGATTGCATCCACTCGAGGAAATCATATATTTCAATTCTTCCCTCGAAAATTGGTAGTTTCACCTTCATTCCTAGATCTTTGTATCCTCTCATGAGCACGTCATCTCTATATCTTCTAACAGGCATCTCATCTATGCATCTTGTAATAGGCACTTCATTTATGCATCTTCTAAGAGGCTTTACATCTCTCTCTTCCAATACGCAGCTCATCTCGGTATTGTCCAACAAGCACCTCATCTTTGTATCATTTAATAGGCACTTCAGCTCTCGACCTCTGTTCATACTATGCTCTAAAGCGTCGTGGTCTGTCTTCTTCTCCATTGGACTCTTCTCTAGGGAAGGTATTCAGCCATTCTTCTTGCTCTCATTCACGGATTTCACTATTACGATCGGCAATGATCCTGCTGTCAACGAGTCGATGTAGTACTTGGCAGAGTAATCATTGTATGTCTTCCATGGTTTCTGATAAGATTTTAACAATATCTCCTTGGAGCATGGTTAGGGTTTCAGGTGTAGGTAAATGGTGGGAGGTGGGGGAAAAAGAAATTTTGGGGGTGATACGGGGGGAGCTAGAAACCCTAGGATATGACTAAGATTTCTAGCTCTGATATCAAATGATATCGGAGTTAAACCAAACCACAATATGGAAAGCAAATATTATTACTCAAAAAATAAGTAGGGTTACAAGCAAAGACACTTGAAACTAGGAATTAACAAAGACACAACACATCTCAATTAGGGCTTAAGGTCAAGAGAGGTGGTGTTGTGGTTTACAGAAGAAAAGCTCGCATGGAAGTAGGGGAATGGTTGGAAGGCAGCAAGGACAGTTGTTGTTGGTTCTTGGATGGCAGGAAGGTGGGCGGCCGCATGGTATGATGAGGTGGCTGCAGCAAGGAAGTGGTTGTTGATCTGTTGCAGAGCTGCAACAGCATCATCGGACGGTTGAGCAACAATATGACATCAAGGGAAGGGCTTGTGAGGTTGTAGTGGTGATATAAGATGGCGGGAAATGGGTAGAACAACAAAAGGAAAGAGTGGCGAGGTGTGATAGCAAA